TTATCAGTCAGAAACTTTGCAGAATAGCACATGATGATGGAGGCCAAGCTCACACATTGAAGGCTCTGGACTGATATCATCAAGATTGAGGTTGATGAAGATGGGAAGTCAGAGTCAGAGATCTTGGTGGAGATCATGACAAAGTTGAAGGTGTGGGATAAGCAGAAGATGGCAGAGGCTAGGGCCAAGATGATTTTGAGGATGGATGTCAGGCAGCTGGCACACATGGACTCGAAGGACCCACAGGAGATTTGGGGGAACTTGCAGACTGTGCATCATGCACAGGACTATTACAGTTTTACCCTCATTTTCCTTCTCTTATCTTATCCTTATCTCCTGGAACCCTGGACCTACCTATCTTATCTCTCAGGCCCATGATATCCTACCAGCATACCTCCTACCCATTTACCCAGGTGCCATCACCCCAGTTCACAGCTGCCATATTTTGGATGACTGACATTCTGCATGTACCATCATGCTTCTTATGATGGCATCACCCTTCTTAATAGTTGGACGAGAGTCGACTGCTAGTCAAGGGTGGTCTATGGGATATGGTCTATTCAGATGGAGTCCCATGTCAATGCAGGTGATATGCGCTCTTTACTCTCATTCGTCGGGAACACACTTCTTTTAGTGTCCTTACTCCTCATTCATTGCAAAGCATGATTCATGTTGCATGCACCCTGGTAGACACTATTCTTAGTACGAGCTTGACATATATTTAAGCTAGCCTATGCTGTGGCTTCAGACCCCAACTTCAGCTAAGGTTATACACTCCTAACTCTTACAAGCTCCTTGCTCTCGCTACCTAAGTGATGCCCTAACTTCTTGCAATCTGCCAAACACCTCTCTAACACTGAATCACTGAATGCGAGTGATAGGATAGAGACCAGCCTTGGTTCAGATTAGAGTTAATGCTTAACAAGGGCTTTGCAACAAGCTTGTCTTTGCAAAGGAAGTTCTTGATGGTGAAGATGCTTGAGGGCCAGGGTATGGAGGCTTGGGTTGGAAAGATCAGATGAATGGTGAAGGCAATAGAACTAGCCAGTATCAACATCAGCAACCAAGATCTAATCCTCGCACTCACCATGGGACTCCCTCCTTCCTATGAAAATGTCATTATCAACTTCGACATGATGCCACCTGACCAGCTCACACTCTCAAATGTGATCATTCGCTTGCTCAACAAGGAGACGTGTCAAGCATCGCTTGCTCCTGAATGCACCAAGGTAGATAAGGAAGAGGATAGTGATGTTGCAGCTGTTGCCTTTCATAGCAGAAAGGTGAAGGGCAACAGTCAAGTTGACCCCATTTGCTTCTTTTGTGATAAGCCTGGGCACTTGAAGGTGGATTGTGAGGAGAGGGCAAAGTGGCAGAAGTCGAAAAAGGGGAAGACTGCAGCAATGGACTTCGCCAGGTTAGCTTATGAGAGTGACACTGATGTCACTTTCTAGGCTATATTTTTCCCACCAGTGTTCACCTTCTGGAGGTGTACATTGTATGTTTTCTCCTCTCATTTTTTCTTTTCTTTCTTGGGATTGATGCATAAACTTGCGGGAGTATGTTGGAGTATCAAGTATCACACTTCACAGCATGTTTGACATCAGGATCATCAGTTGTCAGGCAAGGAAGCTTGTTCTTCTCCTTGGCCTTGTTTACTATGTAGTATTACTTCTATTAGGTGTACATCATAGATAAATAGCTAGATGAACAACAATAACCCTCACCTGTTTGTGAGGGTTCCCTGCTATATCTGGGTGAGCAGCTGGAGAATTACCACTTATCTCAACAAGAAGACTGCTACATCTCACAACATTGCTGGAGCTGGAACTTGTGCCTTCGTTGTTGGTGTCAAAAGGCTTCCTTGAACATTTTCACTGTTTGCTCAGTTATAGATCTCCCATCCCCATTCTGATGAGAACTCTAAGTACCATTATAGAAAGTCTAACAGTTGCGCTTCAGACATATGCTATTCTGAATTTCAAAATACCATTTATAGTAATTGGACTCAGGGAAGTGTGTTGTTAGTATGACCAATTCAATGGAACAAGATTAATCAACCATATAAGGACAAAGTACTTAGGTCTTAGGAGTAGTCACCTATACACCTCATAAGGCCAGCCTTGTATACAATTTCCTGTAGGCTCAGGAATTGAATTGTACACAATCCTGTGAGGCCTGTAGGCCTGATAAGTATACACATGTATGAGGGCCTAAATCCAACCTAAATCTGCATTTTCTCAACTATTAGGCACATTTCCCATCGGGATGGGCCAGAACTTTCTGTGGGACCTTTCATAAAAATCTATAATTAGCTTGTGAAGTCATCCCATCAATATCTGGCTGAAATTGGCTGGATGCAACCAAAAGATGGCATCATAGGGGCTACTGTCCGGTCAGAATAGGATTTAGGGTGGTTTCTGGGTGCTCGGTTGGTCAGGGAATGGTACTAGAATACTCATAAACATAAATAACATAAAAGCGGACCTACTGATGAGGTATGGGGGCTCTGGAGAGTGTGTAATATAGGTAATTTCGCAAAAATGGCTGCAATATTTGCTTTTTTGGGGTTTTTTAGGGTGATACATGCATTGTATCGACCAGGGAACTTCACCAATGAATTTCCTGACCTTGAAAACCCCTAAACAAACCCTCTATAGCACTTGTGGCACATTTTATTACCAGGATTAGATGAGCACATTAGCTTTTTAAGAGAGGATTGGGGTGCACATATGGTTTATTTTATTTTCTGAGTTTCGGATGAGACTGGGATTGTTACTAATGAATTCCTTGACCTTGAAAACACTGAAATGACTATAGGAACAATTTATCAGGCTCTAGAAATGGTAGTAATGATAATATTACAGTTTCAGAGGAGCACATATGGAAAATCACTTTTCTGTACCTCGAAATACTTCGGAACTTCTACCAGTCTGTTCATTGACCTCAAAATACCTCGTATAACACAAGGATTTAAAGAAAACCTACAAAAATACATGTTAAAAAAGAGTAATAGGGGATGGAGGAGATATACCTTGTATTATGCATTTCTAGTGGTTGGAGAAGGTATTCCTGTTATATATTAGATGATATATATTCTATAATCATTTGTACAAACTCCCACATTTATCCGAAATGTATTGGAAGAGATATAAGCATATCATTTTGCAAATGATGAGGAGCACATCCCCAATTTCAATATTCTGATCATTCTATAGCTTGGGGAATGTCAGAATAGGATTCCTTGACCAAAAAAATGGTAGGGTCACCAATCATCCATGGGAAGTGAAGTGTCAACACTCCAAAGTACAATATGAACTTTCCTTGATAATTGCTGCAGTCTGATTTGTTCTTACCATTAGATGTTTTCTTGAAAAAATAACCATGGATGATTGGTGACCCTACCATTTTTTTGGTCAAGGAATCCTATTCTGACATTCCCCAAGCTATAGAATGATCAGAATATTGAAATTGGGGATGTGCTCCTCATCATTTGCAAAATGATATGCTTATATCTCTTCCAATACATTTCGGATAAATGTGGGAGTTTGTACAAATGATTATAGAATATATATCATCTAATATATAACAGGAATACCTTCTCCAACCACTAGAAATGCATAATACAAGGTATATCTCCTCCATCCCCTATTACTCTTTTTTAACATGTATTTTTGTAGGTTTTCTTTAAATCCTTGTGTTATACGAGGTATTTTGAGGTCAATGAACAGACTGGTAGAAGTTCCGAAGTATTTCGAGGTACAGAAAAGTGATTTTCCATATGTGCTCCTCTGAAACTGTAATATTATCATTACTACCATTTCTAGAGCCTGATAAATTGTTCCTATAGTCATTTCAGTGTTTTCAAGGTCAAGGAATTCATTAGTAACAATCCCAGTCTCATCCGAAACTCAGAAAATAAAATAAACCATATGTGCACCCCAATCCTCTCTTAAAAAGCTAATGTGCTCATCTAATCCTGGTAATAAAATGTGCCACAAGTGCTATAGAGGGTTTGTTTAGGGGTTTTCAAGGTCAGGAAATTCATTGGTGAAGTTCCCTGGTCGATACAATGCATGTATCACCCTAAAAAACCCCAAAAAAGCAAATATTGCAGCCATTTTTGCGAAATTACCTATATTACACACTCTCCAGAGCCCCCATACCTCATCAGTAGGTCCGCTTTTATGTTATTTATGTTTATGAGTATTCTAGTACCATTCCCTGACCAACCGAGCACCCAGAAACCACCCTAAATCCTATTCTGACCGGACAATAGCCCCTATGGTTACTGTTTCTTAAATTGGATGTGACTGTTACAGCTGACCAATGTTGTGACCATCTGTTCTCAGTCATGCAATTGGTCAGCAGTGAGACCATGTGAAGGGATCAGAGGATCACATGACTCATATGCATTCACAAAGTAGGCCAATTTATCAGTGTGAGGTGAGGGTCTTGGTGCAGACATTGTGTGACAGAAGAGATTTAAGGCTATGTTGAGGGGAAGACACATTGTGTGAATAGTAAGGTGTGTACTCACATGCAGTATACTGATGAGATACAAATGATTATTTAAATAGTTGGAACACTCTCATGCTTTCCATGATTTGACACACAAGATAGTGAAGGCATTTGATGCATATACACTGGGGAGCAGGCCCTATGCCTGCACTATGATGGAGATTCTGTATCAGACCAGTTATATGATAATCAGATAGATATGAAAAGTTATGATGATAGGACTGATGACTCAGTCTTTTTCCATCTGGAAAATCAGATCAAGTGCAGATGAAAGTGGTACTGATGCATTATATTTCTTGAGATAGGAGAGGAAGACAGACCCGACATTGTGCATATTATTAATATCAATATTTCTTGTGGTGAATAATCAAATACAATTTTGGTTATATATAATATACTTTTAGTTATTATGTATATTAGTATATATGATGTAATGACCAATTATCTAAATCCACTGTGTCCCAGGGGTACTCAGGTACCGATCTATTCGGAATGACATATGTCTGGGGCACGACCGTTAGGCTTTCTCTATACCATAGAGCATGTGCTCCAAAGTCGATGTTTGCGTAGGTCTTTCTGAACGAAGAGTAGTATATAATCTCAACTTCTTGGGCCTTCAGATTTTGGCATTCAAGGATATCCTACACGATGACAATGTCTCTTTCCCTTGCAAATGCATCACACACAGGTCTCCATAGCTAACGCCGGGGTGCTCAACCGTGGCCTTCCACCATATCAGTTCTAGCTCATATGCTCTTTTTGTCCGTGTTATTTTACCGACTCGGACTTAACGGTTCCATAATTTCTTTAGGGTGTTTACTGTGTTATGTCGGGCCTCGTAACGTCACAGACAGACAACAGAAATCGAAGCAGACTACTGAAGACATAATCCGATCTTTCGTACACCAATTCGACACCACCAACTTGCCGTCTGTCTCGGATCCCGCACTCGAAGATCTTTGCATGAAGGAGGCCGAGCATAGAGGATATGCCCTCGATGCACTCAGGCCCTACCTAGTGACCGGACTCAACATTACTGCCTCTGCATACCATCATCTCGACGATGTCAACGTGAAAGTATACATTGCCTTCTACACCACGTTTGCAATATACTTCGACGACGTCTATCCTGATGACCCCGACGCCCTGGTCGGAGTTCCTATTTTTACCAAGGTGAATATCGATGTCTACATGTCTGCTAGTGAAATTCCATTAATTTCTTCCGCGCAGCACTTTGCATCCTCAGAGAAGCAGCCAAACAAGATGCTAGATGACTTTGCGAACATCCTGGCAGAAGCCTCCCAGCTGTTTGGCGAAGTGACTGCTGAATTTCATCGTCCAGGCGATCCTCAGGTTCATGACTGCATTGATTTTAGAGACACGAAGTATATCTGAGCCGGTGAGTACTTCTCTCTCAGGCAATTAGGTCACTTGCTCATCAAAGGCGGCAGACGCACAAAGTTGAAAAATACGCTGTATTTCTTCGAGAGCTAAGCGGAATTGCGGAAGCTTACGCCGTGTTCATTTTCCCCACCGAGATGCCATATTCCGTATACATCGAAGCTCTTCCTCTCCTCCGCGAAGTCATCTGCTTCATAAACGACGTCACATCGTTCAAGGAGGAGCTTGACAGTGACAACCACAATCTGATATCAATATTGGCTGAAGCCCGCGGCGAGCCAAAGACGAAGACCCTTTGCAACGTGGCGGAGAAGTGCATGGAGGCACACGAGAGGGCGTTGCTTGTCTTATCGCCACACAAAGAAG